CTTTTTCTTTAAATTCCTAATCGTCGTCGTCTTCTTCTTCATCCCACTCCAAACCAGAGTGAGCAAGGTCTTCATTCTCAGTCTCTGGTTAATCTCTCCTGCGTTTTGTGTTTGGATACGATGATAGAGTCAGTTACTCTTCGTTCTTGCGGGTGTCCTATTCTACTGGAGGCTAAAGATATTCATGGAATAACGGCATCGAGATTATCACCGTCGATGACGAGATTTAATTCCAGGATCTGTTGTTCCACGACGAGGAGCAACCATTATATACCGAAGCTGGAGCCGTTTAGCAGGACGAAGTTCGAGCGTGTCATCAAAGAGCCTCCTCTGATCGAGAAATCCGAGACCGAGCTCGCAGGTAATTTGTCGACTTTAATGGCGAAATCAGATTTTCTCTATTTGGAGAAAAAGCGAGAGTTACTTGCTTTGGAAAGAAAGAGGATTGTGTTGGCTTAAATATGTTTCTTGTTATTTTTTGTTAAAAAAGGTGGATGTTAGAAACTTCCTATTCTGCGGATATTGATGTCTAATCGTGGATACTTACGGTTTTAAATGTTTGTTGATTTGGTTTTATATGGTTTGGCGGTATTGCGTTCTTTCTATTGGTGCTTTATATGTTAGATTTATAATTGAATTTGGTACTTTGTGGCTGTTCAGATTACTGTTCAACGCTTGAAGGAGATGATTCTTATAGCTGTTGGAGGGCTTATTTCGAGCTCAAAGATCTTGAGGTAAAAAGAACAAATTCATCGAACTACACCTTTTGAGGGCTTGTTTGGTCGCTAGGAATCCTTTTTTTCTACTTTTTATTTGGTTTGATTTACTGAATACGCAGTTAAAGCAAAAGAGCGTTACGTTCTTTTGACAATAATTATTTGCTTTTTGTTTTTGTCTCCAATAACATGAACATCTTCAATAGCTTGAATTCCTTGCAAGTAATTTCGGAAAAGAGCTTTGAATAAATTGCTTGCGATTTTGCTTTCATTTCCTAATTTAACTGGATTTATAACTAAAATGGGTGTATGAAGAGGTTTCCTTGCTTTTAACCTCAATGATTTGCGTATGGTTTTGTCTCCAAATGAAATGGAACGTCTTGAATTATTTGAATTCCTTGCAACCATTTTTTCAATCAGAAAAAGAGCTGATCTTCTATGTCATTGCAATGTAATCCAGAGAGAGTCATCAAAGGAGGATGTAGAGAAGCTAATTCTTCAAGCCGGCGGTGTCAAGTCCTTAATCGGGTGCTTACATGGAATTGCATCAATCCACAAAGGAAAAGCCAACGGGTTTGGTGTGGCAAAGCCATCTGATGCAGAGAAAGAAGGAGACAAACATTTTCATATTCCGGACGGACTGCCAAAGTCACCAGAAGAGATAGAGGAAGAAGAGAGGTCAAGAATGCCAGATTCACCGTACACTAGATTGCTCCGAACCAAAGGGAAGTTCCCTGCGTGGTACTCGCCTGTACCGGATCACGAAACAGATTGATTCAAGGAGCTAGCTTGGATGTTTTGGAAAAAAAAAAAAACTGTCTTTACCATGCTTGGTTATAGTTATATATGTGGATAAGTTTAAGTGTCTATAGATTGTTTTGGGAAAGTATTATTATTATGGGGATTTCACTTTCTGGCTTGTGTCCATCTAAAATTACTCTAAGAACAAGTTAATGTGTGATCAAAAACTACTGTTCCTTGCAAGTTTGTATGTAAATTTTGATAATTTTGCAAGTTGTGAATTGAATCTATTACTGATCGGCAATGAGGATTGGAATTTGGATTGATTGCTTGCAGTGGATTTTCTGGAACTTGGTTGAAAATTGGACCCAAGATTTTGGTCTTAGAGAAAGATGGTGGGTAGCCCTGATCTGGAAGCAAATTCAATTTCGGTTTTTCTGCTCAAAATTATATTATATCAACTATCAAAGCTATAATGTTTGATGCGATTCAAGTGCCAAGTTTTCCTCCACCCAGCCAAACTATACATACATACAGATATATATATTTATTTATATCCAGGGACACTTGGTGAAGAACTTGAGTGGTGAAGAACTTGAAGCTTATTTTCTAGTGGGTTGTGATAAATATATGAACGAAATTATATATATATATATATATATCTATATATATCCATATATACATATAGTATGTATTTGACAAGTTAAAAACCAGTATATGAATATATTTGCGTCAGAAATTATAATTACTGCCCTCCAGTTACCACCCATATCACAAATTTTTTTGAAGAATTCCAGTCCTGAAACTCTGAAACCTCAAGAAATCATTTGAAAACTTAACAAAAAAGGATCCTAATTTAAAGCAAAAGAATACCTCTGGCAGATTTCTTTTGACAATTCAAAGGCGAAAGCTTTTGCATCAAACTGAGCACTAACAGTCTTAAAACTTTCAAATTCTTCCATAAAAACTTACCCCACACAGACCAAGAACAAGTTTTCTCAGACAAAAACTGAACTAGCCTCTCATTGCCATGAATAAAAGCTTCTCTAGTCATTTTTAAACTTACGAAAAATAGTTTATTAACTTGTGCCTAATTCTTGTTAGTTCAGTTAATCTCTCCATCTTCCAAGACCATCAAATGAAAATTCTGTTCTTCCCAGATTTTAAGCTTCTGTTTCATGGGACCGGCCACGGATTCTATGTGTTTCGCGTGTAAAAATCGAAGAATCTAAGCCGAAGAATAAAAAAAAAACACATAAGTTCCTTTCAGAAACTATGGGTGTCATGCTATTAAAATTCTGATATGGGTATTGAGTTTGTCTAATTGGAAAAATGAAAGTGAAGACTGAGTCAATTATCAGTTTTTTTAGGTACTTTTTTTCTCTTAATCGAACATATTATGTTCCGGAAACTATGCAATCTCCTTTCGTTGTTTTCTAAGATTAGAGAAATTCCCAAAATTTTTGTGGTGTCTGAATCAACTAGTGCTCTTGTCCTAAATATAGAAGCTGCTTTCTACATTCTATCAATGGCTGTCAAACATTGCCTCTCTATATCCCCATCTCCTGCATATAATACCCTCCCATCATCTCATACATCAGCCTTCTATAAGCAGCCTTGGGCCTTCCAAGGTGGTCGGCAATGGCTAAACCTCTAAGAATGCAGGCCTTTGGCTGCTTTCTTATTTTCTCTTCTCTCTTGTCTACCTTCTCTTTTGCCTTAACACACCACGAAGCATCCCTTATTGCTAGGCGACAGCTCTTAACGCTCCCGGAAAATGGCGAGCTTCCTGATGATCTCGAATTTCAAATTGACCTGAAAGTAACTTTTGCAAACCACAGGCTGAAGAGAGCTTATGTTGCTCTTCAGGCCTTGAAAAAAGCTATCTACTCTGACCCTTTTAACACAACAGGCAACTGGTTTGGTCCTCATGTTTGTGAATACAATGGAGTCTTTTGCGCTCAGGCGCTTGATGATCCAAAACTGACTGTTGTCGCTGGTATTGATCTTAATGGTGCTGATATCGCTGGTTACCTTCCGGCTGAGCTCGGGCTCATGACAGATCTCAGCCTGTTACATATTAATTCTAACAGGTTCTGTGGTGTTGTCCCCAAAACTGTATCCAAGCTCACGCTTATGCACGAATTTGATATCAGCAACAACCGTTTTGTTGGACCTTTCCCCACAGTTGTGCTAACATGGCCAGCCCTGAAATACCTCGACATCAGATTCAACGACTTCGAAGGCGAATTGCCATCTGAAGTCTTCGAGAAAGATCTCGATGCCATCTTCTTGAACAATAATAGGTTCACTTCTGGCATCCCCGAATCAATAGGCAAATCCACCGCCTCTGTTATATCATTTGCTCATAACAAATTTATCGGCTGCCTTCCCAAAAGCATCGGAAAGATGACGAATTTGAATGAGATTCTCTTCATAGGCAACGCACTTGGCGGTTGTATGCCGTCTGAGCTCGGATCACTCATCAATGTCACCGTCTTTGATGTAAGCTCCAACAGATTTACCGGCGTGTTGCCACAAAGCTTTTCAGGCCTGAAAAGTGTTGAGCATTTGGACATTTCACACAATAAGCTAACTGGGTTTGTGCCTGAGAATGTTTGCAAGTTACCAAGCTTGGCAAATTTCACTTTCTCTTTTAATTACTTTAATGGGGAGGCTCAAGCTTGCATACCATCTTCTGGGAAGAGCATAATATTGGATGATACGAGCAATTGTTTGCCTGATCGGCCAAAGCAGAAATCTGCCAAGGAATGTGTGCCAGTGGTGAGTCGTCCGGTGGATTGTAGTAAGGATAAATGTGCTGGAGGATCTTCTCCCTCAAAACCCAGATCGCCATCTGAGCCTCGGAAACCATCGCCTAAACCATCACCACCTCAAAATCCAAACCCACCTGAACAGAAGGTAAAGCCACCGGCTCCTACCCCTGGAACCAAGCCACCAGTTGGACCAAAACCAATTGAACCAGTTTCACCATCATCACCAAAACCATCACCAGCACCAAAGCCACCAAAGGAA